CATAAATCATAAATTAGTTTATTTTTATTAATTTTTAGAATATTAATTTTAAGGTCATTTTATTTTTAGTACATTATAATTATTAATTAGCTAATTGTTTTAGTAAGTTAAACTAATACTAGCATGATTGCTGCTTTAACATTATTATTAAAGTGTTATATATATATAATAGGGGGGCATAGATAATATATTTTTTTTTTTATCTAGATTATTCATTTGAATTCTGCCGAAGGCATTCAGAATATGTGGGCTACCCTACTCTGAGAACAGGTTTCTCAAGCCAGGTGGCGCATTAGACCAGGGGCTCATCTCCTGTTTCCAAAATGCATCACAAACTGCTTGAGAAACTACTATGGTAATTGGTGATGAAAATAAATAATGTTCAATCAGATGTACTTGTGATTACTAAATGTTTTATTCAGGTAAAATGAAGTTTTAACTGTAGGCCTACATAAGCTCCAAAAAGCGTTTTTTTTTTTTTTTTTTTTTTTGATCACCTTAATCCGACTAAAGTCATAACTGAACTAAACAGAAATGGAATTAAGACATGTGGAGTATGATTTAATTCAGAAGGTACTTTTTTGTCAGACGGCTCACCGGTCAGGTATACAGTACATCCGCAATAAAATGTCAAGGTGAAAGTCATCACAGCTTGTGTAGAATAGACTCAGATCCCAACCCAACTTTGAGAATAGCTTTACGGCAATTAATATATATATATATATATATATATATATATATATATATATATATATATATATATATATATATATATATAATTTGTATCTAATAATCATATAGGCAAAGATTAATTAAATCGTTCATGCGTCTATTATATATATTTTGTATATGGGATACACGCGCGCGCACACAAAAGCAAAATTATACAAAACTATTTTGTTTATAGATTTTTTAATTGATTAAATTGTTACATATTTCATATCTAAATAAAAATAAAATGTTCTCTAATATATGCATGTCTGTGTGTATTCATATATATGAATTTACCCAGATCCCAACCCAACTTTGAGAATAGCTTAACGGCAATTAATCTATATATATAATCTATATCTATATATATATATATATATGTACAAACAAATTTACACAGTACACACACACACATATTTAAAGTAACAACAGATGTGAATTTTGGGTATGATTATTCACAATACATTTTTGCCTAGCACTATAGTATAATATAATACAATTTGTGTGTGTGTTGGAAGTCACTACAGGCCTGAAATATTTTCCTTAACATCAATCCTGTGTTTGCAATCTCACAATTTGCATGATCTTCTCGTCATTTGCATTTGGCAAAAATGACACCTTTTGTTTTTGCATCCTCTCATGCGACTTTTGCTGTTTAAATGAGTACACGCTAAACTGTAGTGGCTTCCAGAGAGCTGCCCACCTCCAGCATGGACACTTCTCTGTTGGCAGAACACGCAGACGCAGTAAAATAGTTGGGTTGTGACCTACGCCTCCATACAAATACAGCAGCAGCAGAGCAAAACTGTCTGCAGTTTCTGGCAGGTTGCATAACCGGTCATGTGTTTGCTGGCACCATCACCACCACACCCAGCAGCTGCACACACACAGACACAGGAGGTCTAAGTAGTGTTCAAGGGATGAACTTAATGCTCATTATTTAAATAGCATGTTTATTTGTTGGATCGATGCCATTAGATGTCAATGTAAGAATGTTAGTAACTTGTTGCGTTGTGCTTTTTTTAATGGTTCTGAGAAATTCAACCTCTCTTTTGTAAATAATTTAGCATTTTATGAATAATTATATATATATATATATATATATATATATATATATATATATATATATATATATATATACATTCATGGATATATAAATGATTTTATTATTTCTTGTGTAAAGGAGTGTATATTTTTCTGTAATTGTATCAGGGTTCCCACGCTTCTTGACAGTACTTAAATTTCAGACATGTATTAAAAGCCTGCAAAGACCTTAAAAACAAAGCAAAGTCCTTGAAAGTGCTTGAATTTAAAGAGCCCATATTATGCATTATAAATGGTAATATTTTGGTGTTAAGGGTCTCCAACAACAGGCTGATATGCATGCAAGGTCAAAAAACACTTTCATTGTTTTATAATATGCATTTATTTTTACCTAATTATCCAAATGACTTTCATATGATTTGTTCAGCGATTCATTTGTTCCCAAACCCCTCTTTAGCCCGATGCTAATCTGCGCTGATTGGTCTGATGACCCAGTCTGTTGTGATTGGTCCACTGCGTTCAGCGCGAGACATGACCAGCACAGCTTATCTACAATTTTGAAGTACTCAGAGTGCAGAGTGTATGCGGGAGCCCAGTGCAGGAGTGCATTAAAGCAATGCAGTTCAACACCAGCTTATTGCTCTATTCTTAACCATGATAGCTGAACTATTTTTGAAAATTGACCGCCGCAAGTGTGTTGGTACAGCACATGGTGGCCTTAGCTATGACCAATGGCAGTGGATCGTGAGTTTACAAACGCATTTAAATCTGTAAACAAAGTGGCACGAGTTGCGTTTTTAACATGACTTTAGAGGAAATATGATAATCTATAGAGTCAACCGGATACAGTACAAGTGGTTACAAGTAACAAAACGCAATGAAATGCATAATTTGCAAGCTAGAGAAAACAAAGAGGCAACCATTTTAATTGCATTTACTTGCACTTGTGAAATAGGTGAAGAAACTGGTTCATAAACTGTGTACTGTAAAGTTCCTGTCAAGCTCTGACAAAGTCCCATACAACAATAGTCATTTCTGATCCTTCCTTTTACAAATGGCTGATGAATCTCCCGTTGTAAGTTTGTAGATTGCTGAAGCACTCGTCAGAAACATTACGAGAACACAACACAAGGCTGGGGCTATAATGCTAAGGTATTTATTGAAACATTCCAATAATCCAACCGTGAAGAGATGAAGGCATGAACAAGCATCTTCATCTCTTCCTCTGACACAATATCTGATTTTTGCGATGTTTCTCAGATTAAAAAGCATGTATGAACAACAGACTTAACATGGCTATTTAAACAAAGAGCTCGATCAAAGATGACACCAAGATTTCTAATATCACTGCAATTTGAAGATGACAAGCCCCCCAAAGCTTGCCTGATCATTGGGGTGATGCTATCTGGAGCAAAAATCAGCATTTTAGTTTTATCTGGGTTCAGTTGCAAAATATTGTCTGCCATCCATTTGTTAATGGAGAAGAAACAATCCTGCAAAAGAGACAGTTTGTCCAGCCTGTCAGGGCTAAAAGAAAAATATAATTGTACATCATCTGCATAGCAAGAAGTATGGTGATGGTAATGATATAGGACTGAAGTTTTCAAGCTTAAAAATATCCCAAATGTTCATGAACTCAATTATATATTCATTAACAGAGTTCATTTGACACCCTAACATCTGAAAAAGATTTACAGAAACTCCTCAGATTTTTTTGTTTTAACTGTAAAAAAAATCCAAAGGGCCATTTGTTCACTGTGTCTGGTATTGTGACAAAATCATTTTTTTTTTTGGAAGAAAATACAATACATTGTATCTCCTACAAGGACTCTTTAAGATCAAATTTAGTTTATCTCTGGAATTTTAACTGTTATATGGTGGAGTAAAGCTCAAATAAAAATCTTCTTTTACAGAGAAGAACCTCACATAAAACATTGCAAAAAAATCTGTCTGCAAGTAATCATTTATTGTAATGTAATGTATGTAATGTAATGTGTATTTATATAGCGCATTTATTGTGTATGGCCATACACCCAAAGCGCTTCACAATCATGAGGGGGGTCTCTCCACACCACCACCAGTGTGCAGCATCCACTTAGATGATGCGACTGCAGCCACAGGACAACGGCGCCAGTGCGCTCACCACACACCAGCTATTGGTGGAGTGGAGAGACAGTGATAGAGCCAATTCAGTGGACGGGGATGATTGGGAGGCCATGATCGTATGGGCCGATAGAGGGACTTTGGCAAGGACACCAGGGTTACACCCCTACTCTTTCACGAGAAGTGCCATGGGATTTTTAATGACCACAGAGAGTCAGGACCTCGGTTTAACGTCTCATCCGAAAGACGGCGCCCACTGACAGTGTAGTGTCCCCTTCACTTTTACTGGGGCATTAGGACTCACTTAGACCTCAGGTTGAGCACCCCCTGCTGGCCTCAATAACACCACTTCCAACAGCAACCTAGTGTTCCCTAGTGGTCTCCCATCCAGGTACTAAACAGGCTCAGCCCTGCTTAGCTTTAGTGAGTAACCGGTCTTGGGCTGCAGGGTGATATGGCTGTGGCCATATCATTTATTAAAACAATAAAATTATAAGGCTATAAATTATTAGAACAAACACAGATTAATTATCATTAATTAATTAACAGTAGCATTGTAAATTATTATCGACTAGTTAACCGGGTAGTTTATCTGGCAAAGAAATGTATACTTTTATTGTGGTCATCTCTTCAGGTACTCTGCTTTAAAATTTGCTTGTCTCAAGTATGTATGCTATGCTATTTCCACTTGAGAAACCTATGACATATATCAAAAGTGCCATAATATGTGGCAGCTATGGATATCTTTTTGGCATTACATTAATAATTTCTCCTGATTTTCTATTCAATGGTACATATTTATCCCCTAGCCTGACTGTATGATCCTGTTTACTTATTTGTATATTTCAAATTTTTGTGTGGGCTAATGTATTAAAATAACTGATGATTAATAAAAAAAAAAGACAAAACCACTATAAAATGTACAATAAAACTAGTTGGTACTTAATTCTCCAAGTCTTACTCTGCCTTCATGTGAGGAGCCAACTCTAAAATGTTAACAGTGCAGGTCACATTCCTCTGTAATTTCTTTCTATAATTCATGTCGCTGCCGCTGCGTGTTGAAAGCATTGCATTGAAAGCAGTTGCGGTTCCTTTATGACTCACTCTGTCTGTTTTTGTCTGTCTTTCCTTATGTCGCTCAGGAGGGCACATTTACGGCTGTGTTTGGAGCGCTTGAAATCCCTCGTGCCCTTAGGACCAGAGTCAAACAGGCACACAACCCTCAGCCTGCTCATGAGGGCCAAGGAACACATCAAGGTATGTGCCAGCAGACTCTGTGTGCTTCATGTTCAGTGGCATGAAAACAAGATGTTCAAGCAGTAAGTCATGAGAGGCAGGTAGTGATTGTAATTGTAGGGATTGTACCGTGGTTAAGTGGCGTTGTTGGGCACAACACCTGGAGTGCATGAAAACTCCAACACACTTAAAGTACAATTGAAATGTAACATAAAAAGTACATATGATTTTGTTTGCTCATGTTGCTTGTTGTGTGGTCAACAATTCATCTGTGCATGTCATTAGGATGAAAAAAAACCTAGTTTGACCTTTTAATCTTTAAAGAGCCCATATTATACATGAAATAGGGCCATATTTTGGTTGTAAGGGTCTCCAACAACAGTCTAATATGCATGCGAGGTCAAAAAACACGTTCATTATCTTGTAATCTGCATTTATTTTTACCTAATTATCCCAGCGACTCCCAAATGAATCGTTCAGTGATTTGTTTGTTCCCAAACCCCTCCTTAGCGCGAAGCTAATCTGCGCTGATTGGACCGATGACAGTCTGCTGCGATTGGTCGATACTGACTGCCTTCAGTGCGAGACAGAGTGAAATGCCCAGCAGCTAATCAACAATATAAAATTAGTCACAGTGCATACACGCTTCATAGTGTAAGGCTTGGATTTTGGCTGCCAGTGGGTGAATGTAAATACAGACGATGGATTTGAAAATACTGATGACTAACTATTTTATTGAGCAAAAACTCCAAGAAATGGCGAGGAGATCTCCTAGCTTGTTACACTCTGCTCTTTTCACACGCGCACACACACAAGCACACACATTGCCCTCCTCCTCGGACAACACAGTGCGCACACACACACACATTATCTTCCTCCACGGAGGTCCGTAAACAAAGCGTCACGCGTCGCGTTTTAACGTGGCTTTACACGCGATATAAGAATATAGCGAATTAACCTGATACAGTACATGCGGTTACAATTAACAAATCACAACTAAATACATTTGCAAGCTAGAGTAAACAAGGCACCAACTTTAATTGCATGTACTTACACTTGAGAAATGGAGGAAGAAACCGATCCAGGTTCTGAGATAGTCCATCAGTAGTCTTTACTGATCCTTCCTTTAACAAACGGCCGATGAAGTATTCTTTGTAGCATGTAGTTTCCAGAAGCACTCAAACTGCTCAAGGCTGGGCTAATGTTGAGGGTTCATTTTTAGGTAGAGACTCAATAATATCCATCTGCACATTGCTACTTCATTTGACCGACGTGTTTGTGTGTGTGTGTGTGTGTGTGTGTGTGTGTGTGTGTGTGTGTGTGTGTGTGTGTGTGTGTGTGTGTGTGTGTGTGTGTGTGTGTGTGTGTGTGTGTGTGTGTGTGTGTGTGTGTGTGTGTGTGTGTGTGTGTGTGTGTGTGTGTGTGTGTGTGTGTGTGTGTGTGTGTGTGTGTGTGTGTGTGGCGTGTGGCTTTTTCTGTGTTAGAGGGCAGGGCCGCATGTTTCAAATCTCCCGGGTTTGCGCGCGCAACTACTTGGTCTCGTTTTCACGTCATGGCGAAACACCTAATTATTCGTTATCAAGACGATTCGTTTGAAACACTATGAGTCGACTCTTTTATAGATGAATCAACAGTTTTAAACACTGTTAGGTGGATATTTTACTTCACTGATATTTCAGCTGTGCTACACACTACATGGAAGGGCATTTTCAAAAACCCATAATATGGGCTCTTGAATTGAAATCTTAAAAAGAACTTCCTGTTTGTTAAATTCAAGGTATTGGGCGTGGCTAACATACTAAACCACGCCCCTCCAGCTGTCAGTTTTGACAACAAACAGAAATGGTAAGCAGGAGGAGTCTGTTAATTTGTAGTATCTCTTCCCAAACCCTATTCCTAATTTTTCTAAATGAATTGCCTACTTTACTACACCCAATTAGCTCCCAGTAGAAAAAAAAACAGGCCACAATCACAAATTTTTTCTCATTTAATATTTTAATTCATTAGGAACTGCGTCACATTAGGTTCATGCAGACTTTAAACCACCTTCATTCAGATGATCTCTCGGTCTGGAGGGAGCACTTTTAGGGCCTACTCACACTATGCCATCCGTACCGTGCCCAGGCCCGTTTCCCGGATCGTTTGAGAAGTGTGAGTGCGCTGAATCGCGCTCAAGCACGGTTCACTTGGCCGGCCCTGGCCCGGTTGGAAGAGGTGTGCCTGAGCGCGGTACACTTGGGCTCTGGCGCGGTACGCTTGTGTGTGAGCGCAAAACGCGCCAAAGCCCGAAACCGAAACCGAAAGCGAGACGTGACTTTTAAGGGACTGTTTGATATGGATTTATTAATCATTCTTACTGTTCAGTGAACGCAAACTGCCGTAGTTTATTAAAGACGCAAACTCCTCACAGCACGACAGCTGCGCGCTTCAGCAGACCTCCTCATTCCTGCAGCACGAGGGCTTAATGATTGTTTATGAGCGCCAAAAGTGGCGGATCTGTTCGGCGAAATATCTGACTGCGTGTCACCGCATCCCTAAGAACTGTTTGGCGAAATATTTGACGGCATATCAAACGACTGAAACGATATAACTAGAGAAATCTCCACTGTGCTACTGAGTGAGAGCGTATGGCAAGCCGTTTTAGCATTTAAACCTTGTTCTGACTATCCATAAATATATTTAGAGATATCTCTAATTATATTTTGACTAGTCATACTTATAATTCGACTAGTCAGAATGACAATTAGAGATACCTGCAATTACAATTGTACTAGTGCGAAATCAGATATTATGACTATATTATACGTCTATATTATGACTAGTCATATTCCTCCATTGAAAAAATATTTGCAGATATCTCTAACTGAGTTTTGACTTGTCAAAAATCCAATTCAAGATATCTACAACTGTTATTCGACTATTAGTAAATTAATTAGAGATCTTCAAATATATTTGTAAATATCTCTAAATATGATGAATTAAAGACATCTCCAAATGTATTATGACTAGTAAAAACTCAGAGATATCTCTAATTACAATTGTGACTAGTCAAAACTCATTTAGAGATATCTGCAACTATTTTTTTAATGGAGGAATATGACTAGTCATAATATATTTGCAGATATCTCCAATCTGATTTCGTACTAGTACAATTGTAATTGCAGATATGTCTAATTGTCATTCTGAGTAGTGGAATTATAATTATGACTAGTCAAAATATAATTAGAGATATCTCTAAATATATTTATGGAGTCAAAACAAAGATTTAAATGCTAAAAAGGCTTGCCATAGAGGGCGCTTCTGAACAGCGCAGCAGCGATGACGTAAGCGTGCCGAGGCCCGATATGGTGTGAGCGCGGGCCGTCGGGGGAGACGGGAGGGGGGACAAGCATGCTTTGGCCCGGTTCAAGGCAACTGTACCTAGTGTGAGTACGGCCTTAGCTTAGCTTAGCTTAGCTTAGCATAGATCATTGAATTGGTTTAGACCAGTAGCATCTTGTTAAAATTTAGTTTTGAAAATCGGTTTGATAATTTTCCTGTTTAAAGCTTGAATCTTCTGTAGTTACACTGTGAACTAAGAAAAAAATTATAAACACTGAATTGGTGAATAACTGCTTACTGGTTTAACTTTACAGGGGTGCGTTTCTCAAACACTGATGTAACTCGTGGCTGAACTATTATAGTACAGTGCAACGTTTGGGAAAGGAACAATGTAGTGGCGAGTGTTTCCCAGAACCCATAGTTTCTCTGTCGCAGATCTTTCATTTGAACCACGTTGGTTATAATGCAAAACGCCCATAATGATGCTCTAAACGGGATGGAGTAACTACTTTTTTTAGAGAAGAACCCCATCATTTCTTTGTGCAAATTATATTGTTTTACACGCACACGCATTTAAACTATATACATATTTTTTGTAAAAACATGCACTCTTTTCCGTATTAATAGAAATATATGTAAATGGCACATATAGGGCCTCTGTTTACTTTACAAATATTATTGAGAATATTACATATTCTATTCTAAGACATGAAATCACTTACAAAAGCGAACATGAATTCAACTTTAATGCTTTTTTATTTTTAATTATTTCAAGTTTAAATGTTAGAATGTTCTAAATGAATAGGGAATAGGGGGAATAAGTAGGAATAGCACAGAGCCAGGAACAATGTCTCTAACTACAGCTCCAGAGTAGTAGTTGCAAGCGTACAAGTTTGTGACGCAGTGTGAAAATGTTCGTTGGAACGATGGAATTGGGAAACGCCAAATCAACAAACTATGTTTGCAACCACGGAACTTGAGAATTAAGTTGGCTAACAATGGCTTTTGGAAACACACCCCAGTTCAGCAATACATACTACAGAGTCTTTGTAATGTGTTTCAGCAGTGCGTTTTTAATTTTTTAATAATGTTTTGAAACAATTCTCAGAAAATTCTTTATCCAGGCGTTTAATTACAATTATAAATGATATTTACAATAAAGAAAGCTGTATATTCCATTGAAACTGTAATTTTATTTTATTGTTTTATTGTAATTATGAGCTTGCTTGCTGGCTTTTATCTATTGCAGTGATGTGGGACTGACGTTTTCTGATATTTTTTAATTTCAGTTTGGGACTGATATTAAGTCACCATTAATATTTATGACAAAACAATTTCACAACCACGATTAAGTAGTAATATTGTAATAATAAAATATGAATGATAAATTGTGCAATTTAAAGTAACTTTTCTAATTCATGCAGATCAAATTATAAACCATGTAGTTTATTCCTATAATCACAGAGCTTTCACTCGCTTTACAAACACAGTTTTCAATCAGTCTTCAGTGTCACTCAGTCCTTCAGAAATCTTTAGTTAATTTGATGCTCAAGAAATATTTGTTGTTGTTATCAATGCTGGAAACAACTGTGCTGCTTATTATTTTTGTAGAAACTGAAATTGGATGATTAATAAGTTCTAAAAACATGATATATTTCAAATAGATATCTTGGTAACACTTTTACACACTATGAATCATTTGTTAAGCATTAAAAAAATAAGTAACTCATTATCTGTTAAGCATTAACTCGACATTAATAAACGTTAGTAAGCAGCTGATAAATGGAGCTACAAATGCTGTATTCTTGAATAATAAGCACATGCATAATGTGCTTATTAATTGTATTTTCATACTTCCTTAATTAAGAATTGCATTATTTACAACTAGTTATTTAAAAATAGTTTATGCTATTTTAAGATCATTCAGAATGAGTTAGTTAACATTTATAACATTAATAATCCTTATTATTCAAGCATAGATTAGAAGTTAATTTGTATGTTAAAAAATGCTTTATTAACTCAACTTCATCCAGTTTTGTGACTTAATCTAAAGTTAGGACTGTTTATGCTTTAGAAATTCCTTATAAACTGCTTACTAACATCTATTAATGTAGAGTTGATGCTTAACAGATAATGAATGAACTATTTACTAATGCTTCATAGAGGATTCATAGTGTGTAATTATAAAGTGTTTTCAAAATCTTTTGTGACGGATGCATTTACTGTCAAGTCACTGATCAATTTGAGTCAAGTCGCTTTTATTTCTGTAGTATTTTATACAATGCAAATAGTCAAAATCAGCTTTAGACTGCATGTACACAAGTATTTTTGCACTGCAGAAGCTCAAGCGTTGTTCTAAAAACGCTTAGCTGTGAGCATTTTTGCAGTACATCGTTTATTTCAGGCGCTTGCGATGATGGAGAGTACATACTTCTGTACTGTTACAAGATGAAAGTCTTTAACAGATTGTGATTGGACGGCTATGTCAAAAGTGACATTGATGTCCGTTGTTATTTTCAACTTGCAACAGAGTGGTCTGAGCTGTATGCCCTCTCAAAGTCTTGCCATGCAGCAGGCCATCAAAAATGTGGTGCTACCATTGATAACACTAGAAAACAAAAGCTCAGCTCAACAAAAAAAGGCTGTAATGGACTCGCAGCCCTACTGAGAAAACAAGCAATAACCCCAAACTTTAAACAAGATCAATAAATTTGTCACTTTTAGTTCAGCAGAATTCTGGATTTGTTCTCGTTAGTTTAGTTCACGCAATATGAATGTCAATGTAGAAGGATGTGATTCTAAATCTGCTATTTTATAATGAATTAGAAAATACTCCTGCTTACCACACTTGAACATTCAGTTTGATGTGGACTCTAAACTGGTGTGTTTGTGTGCAGAGGTTGGAGGACAGCGAGAGGAAGGCCCAGCACACTATAGACCAGCTGCAGAGAGAACAGCGGCACCTGCGCAGGCGTCTGGAGCAGCTGGGTGTGGAGCGCACACGCATGGACAGCATGGGCTCCACCATCTCTTCAGACAAATCCGACTCCGACCAAGGTATTTATGCACTGGTGTTCACACCAGAGTCACTTGTGTTGAATCACGCCGCCACAGCAGATCAAATCGGTTTACAACGGATACAAAACGGAATGGATGAACTAACAACAAT